AGATACCACATTTTCTTAATCCATTCGTCAGTGGTGGGGCATCTTGGCTGTTTCCATAACTTGGCTATTGTGAATAGTGCCGCAATAAACATGGATGTGCAGGTGCCTCTGGAGTAACAGTCTTTTGGGTATATCCCCAAGAGTGGTATTGCTGGATCAAATGGTAGATCGATGTCCAGCTTTTTAAGTAGCCTCCAAATTTTTTTCCAGAGTGGTTGTACTAGTCTACATTCCCACCAACAGTGTAAGAGGGTTCCTTTTTCCCCGCATCCTCGCCAACACCTGTTGTTGGTGGTGTTGCTGATGATGGCTATTCTAACAGGGGTGAGGTGGAATCTTAGCGTGGTTTTAATTTGCATTTCCTTTATTGCTAGAGATGGTGAGCATTTTTTCATGTGTTTTCTGGCCATTTGAATTTCTTCTTTTGAGAAAGTTCTGTTTAGTTCACTGCCCATTTCTTTATTGGTTCATTAGTTTTGGGAGAATTTAGTTTTTTAAGTTCCCTGCATATTCTGGTTATCAGTCCTTTGTCTGATGTATAGTTGGCAAATGTTTTCTCCCACTCTGTGGGTGTTCTCTTCAGTTTAGAGACCATTTCTTTTGATGAACAGAAGCTTTTTAGTTTTATGAGGTCCCATTTATCTATGCTATCTCTTAGTTGCTGTGCTGCTGGGGTTTCATTGAGAAAGTTCTTACCTATACCTACTAACTCCAGAGTATTTCCTACTCTTTCTTGTATCAACTTAAGAGTTTGGGGTCTGATATTAAGATCCTTGATCCATTTTGAGTTAATCTTGGTATAGGGTGATATACATGGATCTAGTTTCAGTTTTTTGCAGACTGCTAACCAGTTTTCCCAGCAGTTTTTGTTGAAGAGGCTGCTATTTCTCCATCGTATATTTTTAGATCCTTTGTCAAAGATAAGTTGGTTATAGTTGTGTGGCTTCATATCTGGGTCCTCTATTCTGTTCCACTGGTCTTCATGTCTGTTTTTGTGCCAGTACCATGCTGTTTTTATTGTTATTGCTTTGTAATATAGTTTGAAGTCAGGTATTGTGATACCTCCTGCATTGTTCTTTTGACTGAGTATTGCCTTGGCTATGCGTGGCCTCTTGTGTTTCCATATAAATTTAACAGTAGATTTTTCAATCTCTTTAATGAATGTCATTGGAATTTTGATGGGAATTGCATTAAACATGTAGATTACTTTTGGGAGTATCGACATTTTTACTATGTTGATTCTACCAATCCATGAGCATGAAAACTGCCCCACTTGATGGACTGTGGACTCCAGTTGGCTACAGATCCCACCACTACTAATTCTGTATTCCCAGACCAGTTCACTCATTTTTGCAGTGTGCCTTACTTCAAATGGCATTAAGTTATAACCATTTATACAGTGAAAAAGAGCCCAAAAATCTGAGTTCTAGTCCTGGCTCAACTAAAAGCTTGCATATATAGCAACCTTGTGTATGTACCTAATCTTCCTGAATCTGTTTTCTCATCTGTGAAAATTTGTATGAAATAAACTCTAGTAGCTCTATGATTAGAATTAATTTATAATAGTGGCAGTGAACATGGAGAAGACACAAAGTAGGCTCAGCATATTTCATATTTTATTCCCTAATTTCTTGAAATGTTAATTTCATTTTGAGACTAACAAACTATCTGGTGAAACTAGGATAGTAAAAAAAGAAGTACAGGCCCTCTAGCACAATATCTAGACCTATTTGAGTAGCCTGACTTATCTCTTTGTAATTAAAAATTAGAAGACTATCTCACTCAGAGACTGCTTTCCATGTTCATTCCTATTTTGGAAATTCTCATATTCCTCTCTGGGACGCTTACCCAGCCTATCACTAAACGAAGAGTTGTAGAACAAAGAGTCTTAGGTTGTGGATATTCTAGAGTATACAGGAATTAGGTAAAATATAAAGACCAGCTGGGCACAATGGTACACGCCTGTAATTTCAGCTACTTGGGAGGCTGAGGCAGGAGGATCTCGAGTTTGAGGCCAGGCTAGGCAAAATGGTAAAACTGTCTCAAATAAATAAGTAAATAAATAAATATCAATATACAGAGTAGGCTTTAAGTCAGCAAATAAGATCCTGTATGGACCAGTTAAAGAATATGTCAGTTGTGCAGATCAAACTGCACTGTGGCAGCTGCCACTTTAGTTCTGAGTATGGAAAGTTAAAGGCTGTAAATCACCTTTGAAAGACAAGTTCCAGGGCTGAGACAGGAGGTTTGGCCTCCTGTGCAACACTATAAGCTCATTTAACGAGTTTCACTGTAATCCATTCTTTAAATTCATAAAGGCCCCTGGAAATTAAATAGGAAAAATGATACTTATCAATCCTGATTTACAGTTAGAGAACACTTAAGCCCAGAAGCTAAATACCACACATTGACCAAATCAATTGATACTCTAGATTCTCTTCAACATATGTTTATTGTGCTTTCATTGTGTACCAGGATCTGGGGGCAAGACAATGATTAATTAGCCACATTTCTTAGTTCCTAAGGAGTGAACAGAAAAGCCAAACATAAATTTCTATACTTCCTATTCCCTAGGTTAGATGTCTCTGATTTTTTTATATGAACAGGCTGAAGACTAACTCTGACTTCTTCAAAGCCAGAGTCAAGGGGCTGACACTGTAGCTCAAGTGGTAGGGCACCAGCCTAGCAAATGTGAAGCCATAAGTTCAAACACCAGTAGCTCCACCCACCCCCAAAAGCAAGAGTCAATGATCTCACATTCTTCATCATCCAAAAAACCCACTTTAACACAACTAAAAGGCAGTACTGTTTGTCAGAGAATATAATACCCATAAACTCCCCCTTAGGACCCAGAACACAAATCACAAATAATAAATTAGTCAAATCTGAAGAGAGACTATTAAAAGGCACTCAGTGTTAACTACCTACCTATCTACCTACCTACATACCTACCCATCTTATAACCAGCAAGGCAAAACCAACTACAATGTTCATATGCAAAACATACCCAGAACAAAATACCCTGCATGGCTTTGCCTATGGCAATACTTTCTTCAATGCTTCTGGGCAAGATATAATCCACATCAGAGATTCTCAACCAGGGCCAATATTTCCCCCAGGAGACATTTACCAATGTTTAAAGACATTTTTGTTTGTCTGGAAGACAACTGAGATTGACATTACTAGCACCTAGTGGGGAGAAGTCAGGGAAGCTATTATCTACCTTACAATGCACTCAACAGAGGAAAAACTTATCCAGTCAAAATGTGCTAAGTCTGAGAAACCATTTTGGCCAGATGCCTTTGATCTGAGTGTTTTAAAGGCTTTGTGTAGACAGTCTAAAGAAAATATAAATCCATCTTCCTTCACCTCTTTCACCTATCCTTCAGCCTGTATTCATGGCAATAAAGTCAACCTATCAAATGAACTATGTGCTCTTTATTATTCAATGAAATATGAATTACATGCATAAGATGTTAACAGAAGATAGGCAGGGGGAGCAAAGGAGAATGAAGGAAAAAAGAAAATGGCAGAGGAAGGGGATACTTGGTTGCCATTTCCACAGCTCTGTGAAGCTACATCAACTATTCTGCACAACAGACAATTATCTGTTCTGTTGTGAATCTGATCATCTCTCATCTCTTAGAACCCAATTCTTCCTACCCAAGAAACAAATTGCCTGTAATACCACACAGGTCAATAAAATCTAAGTCATTTAGGCTTTGTGATCTCCCCAAGCAGATATCACTTATATTACTGAGGCCATCTAGTGATCTTCAATGTAGGAGAGTCTAGGGATCTCAGGCCCTAGAATTCCAACTTGAGGATAAATCCTGAATTTGGATATATATGTGTGTATATATACACGTATGTATATATACACACATATATATATATATATTCTCTATAAAAGAGAAGTTTTTATCTTGGAAAATTTAAAAGAATATTCTCATCTATATACATGCAACTCAATTCAACAAGCATTTATTCTACTTCTACTAAGTGTACTAATCTTTAAACTACCTTAGGGAACCCCTAGAAATCTCAGCTGCGGGGAGGAAGGGAGAAATTCCTAACTTCTGCCTTTAAAAAAACAGGACAATAGAAGATTTTATGCCTTTTCCCCAGAAATAACCCTAAAGAGGTAGGGTACAGTCTCTGAGAATTACATGTCAAAATTTGACATAGTTGATAGGCCCAAAGATGAGAATAGTAGGCATCAGCAAGAAATCAGTTTCTCTTTTTTCCAAGTAGCAATCATATTCATTACCCCTAGGAAGAAAACCTATTTGATCAATCTTTCTCTATATTTGTCTTTACTCAGCTCAATTACTGAGACTAGTTCAACTGACCACTGACGCCTACTTCAGAACTTCTATAGCCAAGACAGCAGATTCAAGAATGTCAAGTGCATTTAAAACTGTGAGCTTTAAATCAACATCAGAATCTCCATTTCCAGTGACATGGAGAAAAGGCTAGAAATTCACAGCTAGGGCTCTATTGCCTCAGTTATGAAGCTGGTGGTAAAAACAAAAAGAACCAGCACCTGGCTCACTAGCAAACAAAGCTGCTCAACCCTTTTCTTCCAGGAAAAAAGATGCCATCCCAAGAAGCCATTCAAGATACTTGCTTCTTGGCTGGTACTTACGGTGTTTCAGTCACTGCTGTGTTTTACTGATACAAAAAACCTCCCCAACTGTCTTTTACCAAAGGCTAATTTTCCATGACTCTCTCTTTCTCTTCAGTAATGGCACATTCACAGACTACTAAAATGTGTCACAAACATGGTGGAGCTGGGTTGCTTGGAACCACATGATAGCCAGCCTTGGTTTATGGGTGTCTCATATGCATCCATTGGCAACTGGAGAAACTCACTGTGAAGCCAGAATGTCTCCAGACTCTCACTGATTCCCCTCAATAATTTCTATCTGATGTGGTGCTGAAGAGAATAAAGACCAGTACAGAAAGATGCAAGTGTACAGGAGGCACAAGGCACTGACCTGGTCACGATCTCCTGCAAAACAGCAGCTTTTCATAGTGCATGAGTTGAAGTAACCCTGATTGTCAAACTGGAACACTGGCAGGCGGGAGTGGATGTCATAGAGCACAGGGGGCAGGCGCCGCCGCAGAGCTAGGAGCTGGGTCCCATTGCTGTTGAATCTCACACTCATGGCACTTTGGAGAGACAGATTGCCACCATAGCGCAGGAGAGAACTGGACGGTAGAAAGCACAGGGATCAGGTATGAGGCAGGCTGAACAAGAGTCTACAAAACACACTGAATTTATTTTACATATGCCCAGGACATCTCATTAGGCTTGTATATAAAAACTTTAAAGGGTATTTCTACTATATGTCAAAATTTGACATAGAAAACTGGGTGCCAGTGACTCATGCCTGTAATCTTAGCTACTCGGGAGGCAGAGATCAGGAAGATTGTGGTTTAAAGCCAGCCCCAGGCAAATAGTTTTTGAGACCCTATCTCAAAAAATCCCATCACAAAAAAAAGGGGGGGGGGGCTGGTAGAGTGGCTCAAATGGTAAAAATGCCTCCCTAGTGAGCATGAAACCCCAGTGCCACAATAGATAGATAAGTAAATAAACAGATTAAATAATTGACATAGCTGATGGGCTCAAAGATGAGAACATTAAGCATTAGCAAGAGACTAGGGTTTCTCCTTTTTCCAATCTGGATATAAAATAGCAACAAGATTCATTAGAAGATAATAATTAGGATAAGAATGGCTCCTTGGATAAATTAACATAAGTTGTTTAAAATGTCAGGTCTTTCTTCCAATAACCAAAGAAAAGGATATCAAAACATCTTGAAAAAAGACATATTAAAATCAATAGTTACTTTATTCACCTAAGCTAAGTGCACAAAGATATTTATCAAGACCCTGAGAAGGGAGTTATAACTCCTTCAGTTATTAGTCATAACTGGCTAATTGTGGATAGTATTTAAGTGATATATTTACCCTTTGTATTAGAGACACAAGACCCATCAGCAAGAACAATAGATACTTTATTGCTATGGACTCTGGATGTTTTTCAATAATAATAATTACTTAAGCATAATAAGGATTTATTTTTTGAATTTTTAATCTGTTGACAAAGTTTTTATGCTCTATGGCATAATGAATATTAAAGAAAAAAATAATTTAAATGCACAGCACAGAAGTCATTTTCTCTTAAAGATTTTTATTTTAGTTATATGTTAAATCTTGTGTTACCTTGTCTCCATCTTTTTCTTAGGTAAGGATAACCCAAGAATGACCCTTTTGGGACTATGATGTTGTTTCTCAATAGGCCTAGTATAATCATGGGAACAGGGTTGCTGTATGCTGAAGGTCAGATGGTAGCTCTTAGCCTTGCCTATCTTAGGTAGTCAAATGCTGTGCATTTTTTTAAATTGATGTAACATGTTTGATTCATCTGATACCTTAAATTTGGAGTTTTTCTGAGAAATGGAGCAGTAATACAGCATCAACTTATTAAAATACATTTTAAGCTATTTTAAAAATAAATAAATAAATGTACAGCACATAGTGCTTGCTTCCCTTTATAAATCTCAATTTTATATTTAGCTTTGAAATATATTTTGGTTAATAAACATGATTTCATTTCTCTAGCTGTACTAGGGAATGGTATATTCTGGTTCACCTAATATTCTGCTATAGTTTTGTAATGTCTGACATCTTTCTTAAAGTCACACTGTGTTGTCGTAAATAATTTTTTTGATGAATGAGAAAAAGACTTTCCATATTCTAGTAAACCACAGTGGTTATGAACATTAACAATTATGCAGTAGTCATTTTTAAAGGGTGACTGTTTCATCTTCCTTTGATCACTTAGAGCCTGTATTATAGAGGAATGCCCCATAACCAAGCTCTCTTTTGTTTTTCAGGTTTATTCCTGGAGCACTGAATTACTGGTAGGAAAGAAAGTAAGGTTAAGTATGTGAGTCAGGGGTACAGCAGAAAGGAGTTGTATGTCAGAGCTAATAATTTGCTTTGCCTCATAGGTTGTCATGGAAAAGAAGTAATCCAGTAGTTTTAGAGAAAAAACAAATTTTATAAACTCTAGTAATCACAGAACTGGAAACGGCTTCAAGATTAGTGTCTAGAAGACATGAAACACTTTTCTGAACAAGTTTTAATAGCATGTTACCAAGTAAAAGACTAAGAGCTACATTTTACCAGAACAGATAACACATTTTATTTCTTCCCCTCTCCCTCTCTCTGTCCTGTTTCTGGCAAGAGAGTGATGAGGGAGATTAAGGGGACAAGGAAGGAGATATCTGTGGAAAAGGATCCCTGAAGCTGGGGGCCAGTGGCTCACTCCACTCAAGAGGCAGAGATCAGGAGGATCGCGGTTCAGAGCCAACCCTGGATAAACAGTTCGTGAGACTCTTAAAAAAAAAAAAAAATCATAAAAAGAGAAAGAAAGAAAAAGGAGCCCTGAAAAATCACAGCTCAGGGGCAGATGCCAACCTGCTATGTCATAAAAACACCCTGCACTAATACAGCCACAGTCATTCCTATGTCCCTCACCTCACCAGTCTTCTAACCACAGGGAGGAATGCTTTGCTGCTGCAGTTATGTGTACAAACAAGGCTTGTGCATAATAGCCTGTAATCCTCTTATGACTGGAATGAAAGGGAAGAGAGAAGAGACTTAGAAAACCATCCCTAGAACTGCAGATATCAAGAGAAGCCAGGTACCCCTGAAGTCCCCAACTAATAATCCCTGCAGAGTAATGTTCTTATAATGCTCTAAACACAAGCCACACTCACTCTCATTCAGAGAATGAATGACAAGCTGTTAGAGCCCAGGCATTTCCTTTATAAGGTGCCCTGGCCACCACAGGCATGTGGTGTTATCTAAACACTGAGCTCAAAAACAACAAGAGGTTTTCAATCTAAGATCAGCATGGAATGTGCAAATAAACCAGCATCTACAGGACTGAGGAGGGGTGAGGGATGGAAACAACACTTGACAGAAAGTCAGAGCAGCAGGGTTTGCATCACCCCAAGCACTGACAGGAAGCTGGGCCTCTAGCAAACACCCTTTCCATTTGTTAAAAGGAAATTCCTCTGCCCATTCTATTCAAGCCTGTAGAGGAATCTGCCCAGGATCTGCATGTGGACCCACTCTATCCCCTACCCAGGATCCTTGACTCACCATTTGCAATCTGACCACACTATAGGGATCTGTTGTGGTCTCCAGAATAGTCACTAACTTTTCTCTTTCGCCTGTGCTTATGGGCAGGGAACCTTGACTTCTCACGCAAAGAGGGTGTATAAGGAATCTTGCTCCTAGAATGCTTAGGTACAGAGCCATAGCTACAACACCCAATACTTCATGTTTGGGCACAAAATTTGATTCCTTCCATTGGGATGGGATGACACCTGAAACCCAGAAAGCAAGTCATGTTAACTGTAACTTCTCAGCAAGGGTTCTGCAGCTGGCCACTTCTGGTGAGAATAAGGATGATCTAATTTACCAGGGAGAAAAAGCTTACAAGTATTTTGTGTTCATGGTCAGGATACAAAGATAACAGTCAAAGATTTTATAGTTCATGGTTTCAAGAAATCATCTAGAGTCATGCATGGTGGTGTATGCTTGTAATCCCAGCACTTGAGAGGCTGAGGCAGAAGGATCACAAGTTTGAAACCAGCAGGGCTCATGCCTATCTGGGGTAGTGGGTCATTTAGAGCCTTTCAAAACATAGGATCTCAGGAGTCACCCCCAGATATTCAAAGACAATCTGCAAAGTAGGCCCAGGTATCTGAATTTAATGGGCAGTCCCAATTAATTCTGATAAGGGGGCTTTCAAACTACATTTTGAGAAACACGATTCTGTTCTGGAATTTGGAGGTTGAGAGTGGGGAGAAAAAAACAAGATTGAGAAAAGAGAGATTACCAGGGTCTTAGTAAAATGCTAACTACACAATAATGGCATTTTTTTACAGTTCCAAGTCTATTAATTGAAAGACTCCAATTCCTTTTAAGATCAGAGTGCTCAGTCCACCAACACCACCTGCAATATTTCCCATCCCATCTCCCCACTGTCCTCAAGAAAGAATGTCCCTAAAGAAGAAATTTCTCATTCCTCTGGGAGAAATAACAATACTTGTATACAAGAATGCCTCAATCTTGCCTTATTTTCAGGATGCTGAGCTTGTTGACAAAGATGCCACTGTCTTCACTTCACCACAGAAATGGTTGCCGTTACATATACAAATGATGGGAAAAGCATCTTGAAAGGACGAGCTAAGCAAGTAAAAATGAGTTCAAACAAAAACCTCCCTATAGGAAGAATAAAAGAAATGCATCTGTTCCCAACATATCTTCAATCCAAAGGTCAACATGTAGAAAAAACTAGGAACCTCAGGAAAACAGTTCTCACTACTGTGCATTTTGCTTGCTTGTTATTGTTTGTGTCTTACTATGTTGCCCAGCATGGCCTTGAACTGCTGGGCTCAAGTGATCCTCTTGCCTCAGCCTTACAAGTAGCTAGGACTATGGGTATGCACCACTGTTTCCAGCTTTTGTTTTTCTAAAATAGTACAAAAATCCTCAGTCGCAAGATTGAAACTTCTATAAAGAACTATTAGAAAAAAAAAAAAAAACTATCAGACAACCAACTCAAGAAAAACAATTGATCTGTGACTGAATATATTAGCCCTTAAATATGATTTACCACTAAGCCTTTCAGACTTGAAATATATTCTGAGTTTAGTATACTTTTTGACTATCCAGAAATTTAAGTTTGAGGTTGAAAGAAGGATCTGACTCAATTTCTGAAAAAGAGATCTTTAAACGATCAAATGGCATATCCAGACCAGGCGCCAGTGGATCACGCCTGTAATCTTAGCAACTTGGGAGGCAGAGATCAGGAGGATCATAGTTTGAGACCAGCCCAGGCAAACAGTTTGTAAGATTCTATCTCAAAGATATCAATACAAAAAGGATTGGCAGAGTGGCTCAAGTGGTAGAACGCCTGCCTAGCAAGCATGATGCTCCCAAGTTCAAACCCTAGAACCACCACCCAAAAAAAAAAAAAAGAGGCATATCCAGCCCATCCATGAGGCAAACATAGACAGCAGGCACAGCAGCATTTCTTATCTTCACCTTCTACAAAAGGAATGTGTACAGAGCTCAAGTGTTCTAGAGCCCAAGTGTTCACTTTTGGCTAAAAGCCACACAGAATC